CATCATCTCCCCATCTCTCGTGCTGTGAAAAGGCTGCAAGAAGTCCCAGTCAGTTGATGCACTGCTACTGTAGCACGTGACTGCTCTAGTTGGAAGCATTCTCCTCTATAGCCCTCTCACCTTTAAGGTGATTATAGTTTATGATAAAGGAGTGGATATAAAGGCTTTTCACAAATACAAATACAATTCATATCAAATCCACAACCCCAAAAACCATGCTAGTCCACTGGTCGACCGTGGAGTCTCCCCAAAACCAGCTCACGCGGCCCGGCCTCGCCTCGCCAGGTGAGGATCCTTTTTGACGAGGTGAGCGGATGGATCCGGATCCATCGATCCAGACGAAACGGTGACCGCTGGGGTGTTTGAACCGATCAGTTCAGTGTTTTTGTTGTTTTTCCTGGTGTTATTTTTTCATGTACAGGCATCTATATATAGTGCAGTTCATGGAGTATTTGGGAGAGTTTGGGAGTGTATCTTGTTTATTCAACAGCCCTGAAGAGACGAGATTGTATGTCCTGGGACTATGCAGCCCGCTCTCCGGGATCTCCAGACGGTGGCGATTCGTTGCCCCCGGACGAGGAGGGCATGTGTGGATGTGTCATGGATGTGTTCTTCAGACGTCCAGAGACCGGGGTGTCTAGTATATGTTTCTAGAGTCTTCTCATGATGTTTCAAGAGTCTGTAGATGGGCATTTAGACCTACTGAGCACGGGACAACTCTCCTGTTGGACTTTCAATTTTCAATGAGGTCTGCGACCGTGAGTAACAGCAGGTTGATGCGCCTGACGCGCAATTAATTGCACGGCTGGCAAGCAAACTTGAGTGCTTGATGTGCGAGAGATGGTGGACATCGACCCACCAGCAGCTGCAAGGAGGGTTCCTGTGACCTGTGGGGTGCTGGAATCATCATGAATCATCCAACACGGGCCAGATTCACCCCAGGGAAGAAGGTCCTTTTCACACCACAAAGTTGCTGAAATGATGCTGAATGACCCCCCAAACTCTCCCTGTCACCGCATCAAGTGGACTCCAAATTCGCGAACCACAAGGACACTCCACCGGTCCACCTTTTCCCCAACCCGGCCCCGTCGAAGGGAAAGGGCCCTCGGCTCCTTGGATCGGCCACAGGCGTTGCCAGGTCCCATCATGGGACATGACGTCTTGGGCGAGGCTCGAATCCCCAACGGGCGGTGCTGCGACGCGTGGTCGCTTGCTTCTGCCGCGCGGAGTGGAGCTTCTGGTGACGCGCTCGGTGTAAAGGACACTGCACCAGGCTTCGGAAGGTGGCGGTTCAGAAGGTTTCACCACACAAGGACCTGCATGAAATTCGCGGGCTACTTTGGACGTGCAGTCTTCGGACGGGGAAGAATCATTTTGAGATGGTTTTGAGATGAGTTCGATGAACATCTCGACTTGTTGATCTCGATATTGGAAATTTACCTATTCATGTTCGCGCCATCTACTCTGAATCCGGAAAAGATGGGGATGGTTAAAGTTAGGAGCTTGGTTGCAATGGTCATCCGCTGCAAGTGAGGGTGAAGCAAGTCGACCAAAGCACAATCAACGACTTAAACTCATCCAGAACTCCACACTGCCAGGACTGTGAAACTTCAGGTCTGTTTGGTCACCAGGGGGTGATGTGACCTCAAATAGAGGGACTGGACTCCTGGACTTCTGGACCTGATCTTTGATCTCTACATTTGAGTGAGACGGCTTGAAACCCCTGCGTGCCAAGAGGGTGTCGGTGTCTAGAGCTGCTGCCCGGCTTGGAAGAGTGAAAGCTGGTCGAAGCCAAGAGACGGGGGTTTCGCCCGGAAGAGGCGAGGGGTGACGGAGCTTCCTTTCGCGTGGTTTTGGGAGACTGGCTGCACTAGCTAAATGCATCAGCGGGCACCCTGAGGTACCAATTAATTGGTTTCATATTATATAATGTTCCAAATCTGCACCAAAATAGTAGTCAACTTTTATAATCCAGAGTTGGATGACGATGATAATCCAGGAAATTTATTGAATGCAAGCTGACCTACATGCAAGCCAGGAGAACCCACCCCAGATGGTTTTTTCTTCCTAATTAATCGGGGGGGTCTGAAACTGAGTGAGGAGTGGATGCACATGTACATCACCCCTGGATTCATTTATGGGGTGTGCCTTAGTTATATAAATATTCTGGGGTATACCCATACCTGTTGGAATATTAAATATTGAATATGTTAATATGGTGTCAAGATTTATTCTCTATTCCTGAAGGTATGCGATAACCTCTTGTTCAGCTGCTCTGGAATATTGTTTCATTTTGTGAGATCTCTGACAGACACCACCCCCTCAATTAATAAATGACCATGTACCTGGGCGCCCCCCAATTAATTTCTACAAAATGTATTCAATTCATTGAAAAAAAATAATGGACCCTAAGTATGGTGCAAATTGATATTCCCAATATATGTGGTGAGGTATCTGAATAGTAATGTCTTATTAATTGACGGGGGGGGTGGGGGACCCCCTCCCTTAGTGATGAGAATATGTTTTTGGACACCCCTACCTGAACCTCCAAGAGGCTATATACACCTCTTGGAAGGTCCTTGTAGATGCTCATGGACCCGAAGTAGCCACTTTAGTACGGCCCAAAACCTGAGGGCCCTGGCGAAGTGAACATCCTGGCCTAGGGCCTGGCGGAGTGCCAACAGAAGCAGATGGGACAGACCAGCCTGAATGGGTTCGGATCACATAGGCCGCGAAGGAGAAAAAACTAATCCCGAATCATACCACTGTGACATGTGTGCTCTTAAAGCACCCAGATTGGCGGAGGCCAAATGGTCATTGATTTGATCATATATATATATATATATCTGATCCATGTTTTGTGGTTTCTATTTGTAGTCGATGTGGTCACATCTTTGAAGGATGTTTTTTTCCAGGATCCTTGTGAACCAACTTCGAGCTACAGTTAGGCCCGGGCGCAAGTTTGATTTCCACTTCCGGGTTGCCCTTATGCGTACATGGACTTTTCCCGCTCCTTTGTTTGGGGAGGTGGGGCGGGCGCGTTTTTGTGCAGTGGCGAACCGAGTTCCCAACGCTAAGGCCTTCACTCCAGGACGGGTTCTGGTGGCTGGCCGGGGAGCGGATCGTGAAGCGAACGGCGGCTGGGCACCAGAGTGGAAGAGCACATGGCTAGACACCCTTTCTCGCCCCTGGCTGGGTAGACTGGACGATTTTCCAAACCAACCCCAGGGGGGTGAACTGGGAGGTCTCCCTATGTGAGCAACACTCCCATGTGGGAGGAGGATGTCTTTTCATCAGGGGTCTAACACCATGTAGTAGCGAAAGACCTTCCAGGCAAGCAGGTCGGTCTACTGGTGCTGATGATCCACAGCCCTATGATCATCTTCTACTGGTGGTTTTCAGTTGTTTCATTGTACACTGCAGGAAGCAGTCCAACAGAGACAGTTCACGGTTGATTCCCTCGTGGGAAATTCAAAGGTTTTTGACTGCCTTTGCTGTTCGTATGCCCATATGGTCGTTTCTACCAGCCCCTCAACTAAAATAGAACAGGCACAAACCGCACGTCTGAAGGCTGTCAGACAAATACGTTGCACTTGCAGGGCCATTTTGGTTGTGTGATGTTTTGTGGGAAATTAATTCTAATCGGGACACCCAGTACTGGAATACACATTTGATGTAGTACAAGGGCAGTATACGTACATGATCTACGCGGCAAGATGTGCTCTTCAACACGGATACCAGTTCGACTGGTGATGCAGTCACATGTTGTCCTTTTGAGGATTTACTTTGAGGGTTTCCCCTCCCAGAAAGTCAAGGTTGTTCTTCTTGTACAATCAGCTTGCACACTCGGCGCAGTCTTCCAGTCCCTGACTCCGGAAAGTGGGCCAATAACCGATGGTATTGGCTATGCAAACTCGCTATGAATGTGGATGACATTCATGGGTGACATCGGTCCAAATATACTTATACGTGTTCTTAAGATATCTTACAGGAGGTACATCCAACTCGTATTTATGTCAGAAGAGACATGCACTTGTCTAAGCTCGGATGGGCTCCTCCCCAGTCTCTCCCAGTCGTCCCACCGAGTCCCTCACGAGTCCATCGGCCAGTTACCGCCCGAGTTTCCGGGGTCGCTGCGTTGTGCGGATTGGGTTATACCAGGGCCCAGGGCCCCCTAAGGCCCTAAGGGGTGGTTCCTGCATACAGTACCCTTTAACCTCTAAGGAGCTATGATTAGAAACCCCTTAGGGCCTTAGGGGGCCCTGGTATTTGATGTTCTCTGTGGATTCTGGTGGAGATACTGTATACTTCCTGGCATTTCACCCTGGGTCATTTTCCCGGCCTTCTGTACTGTATATATATATTTCCACAGCAAATCAAGGGGGAGGAGGTGAAGCAGCGAACAATGAAGCGAGTCATGCCTGAAAATGGGATGTGTTGTTTTCCTGGTGATGTGGGATTGCCGCCACCGCCTCTGGCTCAAGACGATGGGTTGAATGAGCTTCCACCAAACGTGGCCTGTAGGTAGACGAAGTTCCCAAGAATCCCAGCGATGTCCCCCTGTTAGTTCAACAAGCAAATCCCAGGACCATCTAGTCTGGGTGTCCAACAGACAAACAGAAGCCCACAAGTGTCGAAGTCTATTTCGGACCACAAAAGGTCCAAGATACAGTAAGGCCGGCCCCATCAGAAAAGGGTTGGAAGAAGACATGGTACGTCTAACACACCAGCTCCCTATTAATATGTTTGTTGTATCACGTTAGGCCGTTAAGATCATTGGAGGTTATACTTGTTATCCATTGGAATCACCCTCTCTAGGGAATCAAGAATATCCAGGCCCTTCAGCGAAGACAAGCACAGTAGAGCTGGAGCTGAGTACGCAGTACGCCCAGGATGAGCTCGCTTCGAGCGAATCAAAGCTACAAGCTGGCCAGTTCTTACCTTGTGTTCTCCACGTGCCTCACAGTTGCAAGACACCAAGCTTCAAACAATTGGAACATCTCCGATGATCTCCAGCCGGTCTCAACCCGCGATGAGCAGCTTGTCCGGGCTGACCGAGGAGGCGGGGGCCGCAAAAATCAACTACGGGGGAATAGGCGCCCAGAGAAAAGGACGCAAAATACATGGCCAGACAGCCAAGAAAAGAGAATATATAGGTATACTCCCCACCTAGACCCCTCCAACAGGATGAATTCAGTCTTTTAATAGGTGGTTTTTGTAAGCACCATACCACCTACCACCTTGCACCAGGCTTTTTGGGAGGGCCAAGGACGTTGTTTGTTTGCAGGTCTTTGGGGGTGGAGGAGTCTTTTTCCGACGCGGGAGAAGCGGTAAGCGCTTTGCGACTTGTAGTCCCAATGATCAGTTCTGTGAGTTTGTAATTGGAAACAGCACACGAACGCAGGATTTGGCTGTTTGGATCTTGATACAACAGTGGATTGGGTGTTTGAGCTCTACAACCAGTGGATTGGGTGTTTCTTGAATTTTCCCAGAGGTCTTTGCGGGGGGGCCTCCCTATTCTAAGACACACCCAGCTGAACATGTTTCAATGCATGCCCTGCATCGTTGATGTGCTGTTCCGCGGCACAGTCGCGGCGCGAAGCTACGCGGCGTGGAAGCGGCAACGGCGGGAGTGGTGTCTATGTTGGGCCACCAACAACCGAGAAGTCTTCAGATGGGACTTGGGACTTAGTTTACGAATCGGATTCTATCGATTGCAGTATCCCCATGACTTTCTGGCCACAAAAGTAAGTGGCACTGGATCGCGGGGATTATGGCTCCCAATCCCTTACTTCGAGTGATCCCCACCCTAAGAGGCGACTTGGAAAAAGGGCGGGGCGTGTGTATTGACAAACTGCTATCCGCTGTTATCCTGACATTTGTTCAGCCATGACTTGAGAACATATGTTGGATCTTTGACAGAGCAGTTGAGTGACAATCTGTGCAGCCATGGCATGACAATCATGGCGTCTTAAGATAGAAGAACACAAAGTATGTTTAGACAAACAACATGCCAATAACAAGAGAACCTCAGAAACAAAAACAAACGCACAGAGGATTTGCTGGTGACAGGCGGGTTCGAACGCAGTGACCCAAATTCATTATAACGCGTGCAGAAACCATGCTGTTCAACGAGAGGTTTGCTACGACTTTAAGGCTGTTCACTGATCAAGGAGAGAGTGGACCATGGTAGCTGTTCAGTGACCCCTGGAGATCCATCGCTCGCGACACCCACCGCGACACCGACCGCGGTGTGTCGCGCTCGGTCTGGAGGCTCAGGCGTTTGAGACTTCCTCAAGCAGTAGCGCAGAAGAGAAGGCACCGGAGCACTGCTCGAGATCCCGGTTTGTCCGGTTCGGTGGTGATGGTTGGATTGCTTTTATTGGTTTTGATATTCTCTTTGCAGTGGCCCTTCAGCCGAATGACAGCCCAAACGTATTCGCTGGAAGTTGTGGCCGCTATATTGTATTGTAGATATTATCATGTATATACTGTAGGGATCTGTAGGGATTTGTTTGGTCCTTTTCGTCGTGTTGTCCCTTGGTTGCTTGGCCTAACGCATCATTTTCGACCTCCTGCGGTTGTTCTATTGTGCAAAAAGAGGGGCACACACGAGCTAAGATAGTATCGTTGAATCATATCAGACACTCCATGGGACTGCCATATTTACTGATCAGTTGGGGTGGTGCCACGGGGATCAATGGGGTGGCATATATGGCAGTCCCATGGGTGGTGTCTGGGATATATGTAGTTGAAATTCCGTATACCACCTCTTGGGAGTGAATCAACCACCTCTTGGGAGTGGATCCAGTTTTGCATCTTGTGTTGCTTGTTCCTTCAGGCTGAGGTCCGGCTGAGGTCCTAGTCCAGATCACAGTCGACTGGTTGCACCATGAGTTTCCAAAACGTGAGGGCATGTAACTAGATCCATCTAGATCCCAACCCTTGGACCCTCCAAGATCGGTGCTGGCTGTGTGAGCCCAGACGGTACCGGTTCTGGCTCGGTTCTGGCACACAGCCGAGATCAGTCGTGGAGTCTTTTTCAAGGGCAGACGATCGCGATCGATGCAGTGCAAACACCAGAGAGCGATTGATATTGTATAGGAAACACCATTCCCAGACACTCCATGTATGCAATATTTGCCTACATCGACCCCCCTAAACCATCCCAATGTAGGTAAATATGCCATACAAGGAGTGTCTGGAATTTGTAGGTTTTCTCATGTCAAGATATATACCAAGACCGTCCAACTAACGGACACCCACAAGGAGTCCAGTATAGTGGAGGGTGGTCTATTGTGGGACTCTCAAACAAGGAGGCTCCACATGCAACTGTATGACATGCCCCAAATCGGAGACCTCCTCGACTAAGCACTGGCACATTCCTTTTGCGACCCTCTTTCTCGTGACGGCCTGTCTTCCGCAACGAAGATCCGCGTGCGTGGCAGGAGGTGGCAGAACTCCTACAACCGGACGGGTGTTGGGATCGTTGGGATTGGTCATCGTGGGGTCGCTGGGACGTGCTCGACACATCGCTCGATGCTCGCAGACGAACCTGGTGATGCTGCCTAGACCCTAAGGTTAGGTGGCAAGAAAGGAAGGTCCAAGACCCAGAGACACCCATCTCTTGGAGCACTGCTCTTCAATAATGAGTTCTCCAACCAGGTCCGTGACCCATGGTGATCCCATTTGAACTTCCGTTTCTCTTCCATGTGGCAAAAGATCCTCGAAGTGGACGAGGGGAGGGGCACCAAATTGGAGTGCATCGTCAGATCTCCAAGCCTGGTGAGCTGGGTCAAGTCGCTGGTGTGTTCCTCCTTTTTGACGCTTTTTCACCTGGATGTCCTGTACCCAGACACTCCATGTATGCCATATATGCATACATTGACCCCCCTAAACCACCCCAATGTAGGTATATACATGGAGTGTTTGGGGTATGTAGGGAGAGTAGTAGATTTGTTCTGTTCCGACAATCCACTGTTCCCAATCAGTGGGTTGTCGGCATTGGATATCATTCCTCGAGCGACTAAAGAGGTTCCCTTTGGTGCCCTTCGGTTGCAATCGAACAATCCAAACTACAATCCCTGGAATTATCGTTTTCGAAGTGGACAATTGCACCATTGGAAGACTACTTTGCTCTACAAACAGGGTTTTGTTCCACTTCCATGTGAGTTCCAGGGAGAGTATGTGTACGCTCCGCCTACGTGTGCAGCCGATGAATGCTCACAACACCTAACCATCCGACGCCTCGAACCGCTGCCGACGTGGAACAGGAGTATTGCCATGAGATTGCATATGATGATCCCCCATGATATTCGGACTAGAGAATGGGAGGGGTTGACGAAAGGGTAGGACTGACCCCTCCATGTGATTTTCATGGGGGATATATGATGTATATAATATACATACCCAGACACGACTATAATGGGACTGGCATGTTTACCGATCAGGCCAGGGGTGGTGGGTGGTTTATGGCAGTCCCATGGAGTGTCTGGGATGTGTATAGTACTAGTATATTATAGTATACCATTACTGAGGTGGAAATAGATTGAAACTTTGAAACATCCATGTATGGTTCTACATGCCATTTACCAGTGGATTTAAAGCATTGACAGGGTACCCGATGTGTATTATAGACATAGGCTTAGACGTGGAATTTCTTACGTTATCAGACCGTAATAATATTCAATCCAATTGGGAGTCATTTACTGTAGTAGTTCCAAAGGGACGCCTTTTCGAGGATAGGAATGCGGATTATCCACTCACTTAGGGACTAGAAACAATTCCTTTAAGCCTGCTGGTGCTGTAGTCATAGTCCACTCACTTAGGGACTAGAAACA